GAAACATTGTTAGCAGCACCAAACTAGTAGAGTACTTTTACATCAGCTCAGAAGGATTGGTTGACACAGCAAATAATGCAGAGTAAATTACTGAGATTACTTAACCTCTCAACCTTTTTTTTTTTTTGGACAACCAATACAGCCTTCTGGACAATCTCTGATACAGGTCAGGTTGTCCCAATGCCAATCTGGAAATTTCCTTAAAATTGAGCCCTGTAACTGCTCACATTTTCTTAGACTAGTTGTGATTCAGCTAATATGGTGACTTCCAATACAAAATATTTTTGATGAGAAACCTACAACCAAGTTCTTAAAAACCTGTAATTTAAAACAAATCCTTACTTAACTGTATTATTAATTTTTCCCTTCTAGCCTTGAGAACACACAATTTTTTGTTTCAATGCTGTATAAAGTATACTTACTGTGTTTTTTTCAATAACTCGATTCAGCATAAGAACAGCTTTTGACTTCTGTTCCCATATCATTAGCCAGAAGTGCCCTGTTGTTATTGGCAGTGGACCCTTGAAAAAGAAAAAAAAAGAGGTTAAAATCACCAGCTAAAAGTGATCTACAGTTATGATTCAAGGACACAATCTTATAATATTAACTAAAAGTACTCTGTGGTAATTAGGAATGAACTTACATAAAAGAAGGAAAAGCATGAGATTAACTAAAAACACTTTGTGGTATGTGAAAAATAAAATGTATATATACGTATATTTCACTACAGAAAATTGTATTGCACTATTTAAAGCACAAAAATGTGAGATTAACAAAAATGCCCAGTAGTAATTAAGCCAAATTAGAAAACATTTACATTTATACTAATAGTTATTTCATTAACTAGTAAAGCTTGTAGTGATTTATCTATTCATAATTGATTCAAGTATTTTGTGGAACTCACTATGTGGAAGTCAAACATAATTCATTGTAACATTCTTGTTAAATAGGAACTGGTTAGATCTTTACCCTTTGACAAAGAACTACTCAAGCTCACAATGAACAGTGTTTAAGTTTTTGAAAACTTGTATATTTTACTTTATTTCAACAGTAAGTATTTTAATGTACAACAAAACTTTTAAACTGCTATTTGGTGGGCAGAATGATGAAAGACAACATGAAGTTACATGAATAAGATCTAATATCATATTTCTATATAATTTCTTCATCCTAGTTAAACAGTTACGTTTCTGTTACTAAGAAAAGAAAGACTGACATCACCTAACTACTTGCAAAACTTGTTGTAAGATGGTTATAACTCTAGCTTGAAATCCTATTTGAAAGTTTGTATCTACCATCTATTTAAAACTGAGGCTTCTGTAACAAAATGAAATGCAAAGCATAAAATAAATAAATGTGCTCCACATTATTTTCAAATTCTTACTTGCAACCCATTACTATTTTTTTTTATACTTGAAAAGTTGTTTTTGGTGTACAAAACTTGAAGATAGCTTTTATATGCGGAAACATCTGTTAGCCGAGTTCTTGCACAGATCTTAAAATATAACATTGATAAACGGAAACATCGGCACATGTAGATATGTAGATCTTTAAGATCTTTTGAGATGTTGCAAAGGAAATATCTGTTGAAGCTTTTCGCCAGACACTAATCATAGCAGAACCATCTGGAAAATGATCTATAGGAAATAATACAGCTTATAAAATAGAGTCAGATCAACATAGGCCACCAAAAAGAATTCCTATACAATCTGCATATCCTTCAGTAGGTCTGTGACATTTCTTGATTGGCTTAAAGCTATGCTAATCAGTGATTGCCTTACCGGCCTACGTTGATCTGACTCATTTTATAAGCTGTATTATTTACTATAGATCATTTTCCAGATGGTTCTGCTATGATTAGTGTCTGGCGAAAAGCTTCAACAGATAT